TAACTTCCAGAGGTGGTGGCTTTTTTCTTTGAGGCTTTTTTCCCCCTTTATTATCACCCGGTGATCCTGCCAGTAACAATTTTAGTCCTAGGGTGACAACAGTCAGTGTAATGTATCAATGGAGGAGCACCGTTGTCACCCTAGGACAGGACTACAGAACACCTCCCTTGTCTACATAACAAAGTGGGGAGAGGTTCTGTTATCTATAAAAAGTGCTGATAACACTGCGGGGGAGGAGGGGAGGGACAACACTGGACTTCTGGCAGGATCAATCAACGTTTTGTACACAACAGATGCAATAACATACTCCAACTGGATATTCAATAGACCAAAACGGAGCCAGTAGGCGATCATTGCCGGGTTTCTATACTCTGTAGCCGATCCAAAGCTTCAATCTTCTTCCCTTCCTCCTCCATTGAGGGACACAGGAAGTCCTAGACGGCTGGGTTATGCTGCCCCTACAGGCTGTCTCGGGGTTTCTGAGCCCCCTCAGTGGACCCACCTGGAGGGATCGGAGGGCGAGGACAGAAATCCCGGATTAGACTCGTTATATAAAAAAGACAAAACGGCCAATCGGTGAATCTCATAAATATCGAAAGTTCTTCCAGTTTATTCATCTCCATAAATCAGAAACATTCACAGCGACCAATCACAGAGGGATCCATGTCCCCGCCCCCGCACCACGAGGACCCCGAGCCGTCATCTGGTCCTACTTCCCCCATACATGTCCCTGCCCCCGCACCAAGAGGACCCCGAACTGTGATCTGGTGGTACTTCCTCTGTCCATGTCCCCATTACCTCATCACACCACAAGGACCCCAACCCGTGATCTTGTCCTAGTGTCCATGTCCCCATCACCGTCACACCATGAGGACCCCGAGCCGTCATCTGGTCATACTGTTCATGTCCCCAGCGCACCATGAGGATTTTTCCCGCCGTACATGTCCCCAGCACCTCATCACACAACACAAACCCCAGGCCGTGACCCGGTGGTACTTGCCCCGTCCATGTCCCCAGCACCTGGTCACACGGCGAGAGCCCCGGGCCGTGATCTGGTGCTACTCTGCCTGCTGTTCCGGCTCGGTAGCCTCTGGGCCTCGGCCCGGGCCAAGCCG